AAGCTATTAATTGCTGCCTCGACTTCAGCCCTTATTATTGGTCTATTCAGGGTTTGAACTTCTTCTTGGCTTAGTCTTGGGAGTGTGCAAGTGTCTAAGAATTTATCCATTTTCTCCAGATTTACTGGTTTATGTGCATAGAGCTGTTTGTAGTAATCTCTGATGGTAGTTTGTACTTCCAAGGAATGGTGGTGATCTCCTCTTTATTATTTTTTATTGCATCCATTTGATTCTTCCCTCTTTTCTTTTTTATTAGTCTAGCTAGCAGTCTATTTTGTTGATCTTTTCAAAAAAACAGCTGTTGGATTTATTGATTTTTGAAGGGTTTTTTTTTTTGTCTCTCTCTCCTTCATTTCTGCTCCAATCTTAGTTATTTCTTGTCTTCTGCTTGCTTTTGAATTTTTTTATCTTGCTTTTCTAGCTCTTTCAATTTTGATGATAGGGTGCCCATTTCAGATCTTTCCTTGTTTCTCATGTGGGCATTTATTGCTATAAATTTCCATCTAGACAGTGCTTTAAATGTGTCCCATAGGATCTGGTACATTGTGTCTTCATTCTTGTTGGTTTCAAAGAACATTTTTATTTCTGCCTTCATTTCATACTTTATTAATCATTCAGGAGCAACTTGTTCAGTTTCCATGTGATTGTGCAGTTTTGAGTTCTTTTCTTAATCCTGAGTTCTTATTTGATTGTGCCACGGTCTAAGACACTGTTTGTTATGATTTCCATTCTTTTGCATTTGCTGAGGAGTGATTTATTTCCAATTATGTGGTCAGTTTTAGAGTAACTGCAATGTGGTGCTGAGAAGAATGTGTATTCTGTGGATTTGGGGTGGAGTGTCCTGTAAATGTCTATTAGGTCTGCTTGGTCCAAATATGCATTTAAGTCCTAGATATCCTTGTTGACTTTCTGTCTCATTGATCTGTCCAATATTGTCAGTGCAGTGTTAAAGTCTCCCACTATCATTGTGCATGAGTCTAAGTCTCTTTGTAGGTCTTTAAGAACTTGCTTTATGTATCTGGGTGCTCCTGCATTGGGTGCATATATATTTAGGATAGTTAGCTCTTCTTGTTGCATTGATCCTTTTACCATATGTAATGCCCTTCTTTGTCTCTTTTGATCTTTGTTGGTTTAAAGTCCATTTTATCTGAGACTAGGATTGCCACCCCTGCATTTTTTTTCTCTCCATTTGCTTGGAAAATATTCTTCCATCCTTTATTTTGAGTCTATGTGAGTCTTTGCATGTGAGCTGGGTCTCCTGAATAGAGTACACCGATGGGTCTTGTACATCACTCTTAGAAATTGTCTGAGAAGTTACTTGATTATTTAGAAAAATTTAGACATATTAAGAAAAGCCAAAAGTATAGAATCAAGTTATACTGGAGGAAAATGTTGGTTTTTTTAGACCTTTCAGATAAAACATTTTAGCTTCAGACTGCAAGTTAGAACTAGAGGGTAAAATTTCAGGAGGAGGAGCTGATGTTGAAACATACATACATACACACAAAGATTTAATAGCTTTTACCTTGGAATTCTTGCCATGAGACAGCATCACAAAAATCACTGGCCTATAAAAGATAGCTAGATACAAATTACTTTTGGTAAAATTGGGACATGTCAATAGGCAATTCAGTAAAGATTGTGGACAAAAATTTTGGCTAAAGTGGTTTTTATGACAGTTTAATTTTAAAAAATCTTTTTTATCCTTCTATTTTTGTTTTAAATGAGTGTTTATTGTCTACATTTAGTTTTAAATGAGTGTTTATTTTCTACAGAACTGGCTAAACTGTATAAGAAAAACAAAATCTCCAAATAACCTTGAATTGGTGGTACTATAAAGAGTGAGTTTTTTTGTAAAGTGTCTGTTCATATCCTTCGTTCACTTTTGAATGGGCTTGCTTGTTTTTTTCTTGTCAAACTGTTTTAGTTCTTTGTAAATTCTGGATATCAGCCCTTTGTCAGATGGGTAAACTCGAAAAATCTTTTCCCATTCTGTTGGTTGCCTATTCACTCTAACGACTGCTTCTTTTGCTGTGCAGAAGCTGTGCATGGGGAGAAATGCCAGATATAGGTGAAGGGGAGGAAGGCAGCAAATCACACTGCCATGTGTGTACTTATGCAACAATCTTGCATGTTCTTCACATGTACCCCAAAACCTAAAATGCAATTTAAAAAAAGAGTGAGTTTTATCACACTACCAGGAGTTTAATAGCAGTAGATTCAAAGCAGGCAGGAAAAAAAAAAAAAAAAAAAAAAAAAAAAACAAAGAAAGAGTTTTAGAAGACTTTTTAACTCTATCGTTGTAGGTAAACCATTTGAGCTCTGAAGTTTTCTTGCTGTAATTTGTCCATCAATTCAAAATGTGTATAGAAATAGGCCATAATCTGTAATTAGCTGCAGTCTCAGACAGCCTGGCTTGCCTTTGAACTTTCTCGTATTTTTAAACATGTAAGCAAGGGTGTATAAAGATAACTGACAGACAAATGCAAATGAACAACTTCCCAAATTGGGTAAAAGTCCAGCAACTATTCCCTTATCCAACAGGGTACGCCAATCAAATACAAACACAAAGTGGCTTATTCAGAGGAAAAGCCCAAATGGAGGGGAAGAGAGCTCCTGGTTGTACAAACTGGAGCAACTTACCCAGTCCTGCAGTCCACTGACTCCCCCAGACACTGCTTCTCCTTGCACCAGTGAAGCATTGTAGGTAGCTGATGCCTCAAAGGAGAGAGAAGGGAGGATCCCCAAAACAAAAGTGTTCTCAACAGTTGCTGGGATATCCCTGGAATCCTAGCCATGATATCAGATAACCACCAGAAGATGGCACTCATGAGCAGTTGTTGCTCTGCCTGGTAGTGAATGAAACTCTGCCAGGTAGCAGCTCTGCTGTGCTGCTACAGACAATTGCTCCATCTGTTGGAAACCAGGCAGGATAGACCACCTGAGGCACATAGCCCTAGGTTGGGCTCCAAAGTTTTAACCAAACCCATGTTCAGCTGCTCACCACTCAAAAGACAAACATGAGAGACAAGAGTTGGTGAAACGAAAAGCAGCTTTTTTAAGAGAGCCAGCAAACCAAGTAGATGGCAGACGAGCGTCCTAAAGCACCATCTCAAGTCAGTACAAACTTTAGGCTCTTTTTATGTTAAGGGCAAGGGGGAAGAAGACAGGGTGCAATAAAGAGATGATTGATTGCCACAATCTGAGTGCCAGCAAGGGTCTGAGGAGGTTAGAACTGTTTTGTCTTTGGTCAGGTCACAATGTTTTCATTAATTTTTCACAAAACATAGTTGTTAACGTAGGTGGTTGTTTTTTTATCCCAGAGTTAGTTTTTTATAACTACAGGATTGTTATTTTTATATATTATCTTAGTACTCCAAAATTACCTTAGCCTACATATAAAATGGGTTAAAGGCCCCGTATACAAAAATAGTTATATTAATTCTTTCACTATTTCACTATTACATGACCTCCTGCCTTACTCTTATAAGAACCCTTCTGATGACATTGGGCTCACCCAGATAATTCAGGATAATCTCCCCATCTAAAGATTTTTTCACTCAATCACATGTGCAGAGTGCATTTGCCATGTAAGGTGACATTCACAGTTTCCAGGCATCAGGACATAGACACTTTTGGGAGACATTATGATGCCTATTGCATCATTCTTCCCAGTGTTGTATGATTGCAGAGAATTTAGTGAAAGGGCTGCTTCCTTTCAGAGGCCAAGATAAAGTATGTCCCTCTGAACACATACATGGATGTCATGATAGTCCCCAGTGACAGGATTCAACTTCAGCTCCACATTCCCTCAACATAGCACTGGTGGCTAAATCTCCCAAGTTTGTAGTCCTCCCTGATGTCCATACCCATCAGAGGTGCACTTATTTCTTTACCATCTTTCTTTACCCTGAAACAAAGGTATTTGCAATGCTCAGGCTGCAGGGGTCTGCTGAGTAAGGGGTGCTAGAGGCCATATTTCTGACGGGGGTTCTGTCTACTTCCATTAATAAAATACCACAAAGAAATATGGTTCGGTACAAAAGTTATGAACAAATAGCAGGTATACACCTTCCAATTTAGAGGATAAACTCTTTATGCATTGTGTGCTACCTCCCTGGAACAGAGCACATCTATTTGATCTTTTTTTTTTTTTTTTTTTTTTGAGATAAATAAATGACTTAATCCTTTCTCTTCAAGAACAAAGTGTCTAAGTAGAAATAGAGGTTTTTCCAAATGTTAACCATGCATGAAAAGACATGATCAAAGCTTAGTGAAGTTACATTTTAGAGTGTTTTAAAGAACAAGTTGAAGACTGATCACCCAAGAGCGTGGGCATAAGGACAAAATACAGGGTCACAAAAGGGCTAAGGTTGTTCAGGAGATTGAAGTAAGTCCAATGATGAGAAAACACAGGTCATGGGGGCAAGGGAGTGATGGGAGATGAAAAGGGATGCCCATCAAGGACCAGATTCTCTCTTCTTTGAGGCTTTCTTTGGAATAGTTCATAGATCACATTTCTGCACACTGGAAAAATCATGCCATCTTTTTAATATCTCAAAATTAGTCCAAGTAACTTATTCCTTGCTCAAACTTGACAAAAGTCTGTGAACTGAGTGGCCTCTCTGTCCCTGAGCTCCACACCAACACCTCTGCTGGTGGCTCAGGCCTCAAGCATCTCTGATGAGCCAACTCAAAGCAGCTCTTGGCTAAAAAAATCTCCCAGATTTGTGGTCCTACCTGACGTCCATCCCCCCCAGAGGTGCATTTATTTCTTTACCGTCTTTCCTTACCCTGAAACAAAGGTATGTACAACGCTCAGTTCCCACGGTTTTTACTTCTCTCACTTAAATTAAAACACAGTAATAAATTCCCACTACATGTCTCCTCTGACTCTCTCAGATAATAATCTTTTTTTTAAAAAAGGACTGGCTGTTCTCAGTATTAGAAATGACACAGCACACTTTTGTTTTAAGCAGCTGTACAATCCTCCCAGTAAGATGTCCTTGGAGAAGATGAAAGAGCTTCATCTGGAGGAAAATTATCTACACCCAGAAACTGAAGAAGTGAATGGAATCCTCATGGCCAAAATGATTAGTGATAATTGGGACAAAATCTGGAATTTCCAAGCAAAACCTGATGATCTCCTCATTGCAACCTACGCAAAAGCAGGTGGGTATGACAAAACGGCAGGAAAGCCAGACTTAGGCAGAGCACTGACACCTGGAATGGGTCTCCCACTTTAAAAATGCAGGTTTTCACCAGTGCTGGCCCTGGAAAAAAATGAAAACCAGACTTGCTTATGATCTGTAATCCCCTATGGCCCAAGATCTTCCTCTTATTTGGTCCCTGTAAAAGAGCCAGAATCCCAAATCCCCAAAGGACTGAAGGAATTGTGAAGAGCACAGAAGTTTTTACAGTAAACTTGCCAACCAGCCAGTCTTTGCTCTCATCTGCTAAGCCCTCCTGGAATTAACCAGTCCTTGCCTCTAAGAAGCTCCTCCCGGTGGAGGAGACAGATGGGGAACTGAATGCTTTCACCCCACTAGAAAAGTACTGATAGAGTTGGGCCAAAACCTATGTGAGTATGATGGGGAGGATGTGAGAAAGGGAAGGTGGCATTTACCAGACTCTTATGAAAGGAAGAGGAGTTTGTGGAAAAAGCAGGAGTCAGAAATAGCAAAGAGGGTTCTAGACTTGTGCAGGGTAGAGGAATAGGGAACATCACCACCAGCAAGACTGTGATGATGACTAATAATCCTCATGTTATCTGAATATATAACTTCAGACAATGTGACCAAGTAAAGAACAGAACTTTAATCAATTTGGGAGTCTCTCAATGGCCACTTGACTCAAGAGGAAGAATACTAGATATCCATAACCAGAAAATTTCAGAAAAGGGCCCCTTCACCACAGTACTTGGAAATGTGTTTCTGTCCGCTCTTTGGCTCTAAATTCCCCTCCTTAGCCTCACTCCCTTCTTACTAACTCAGCATTGGCTGGCCAGGGCTTTTTTAAGAAACTTAGGTAGGGGCTTGCTTTTAGTAGGTATCAGTTTCTCTAGAATCTCCTTTCTGTTTGATTTGCATTGGACACCTCCTCTTGTCCAGATGTGAAGGTAATCCTGTATTACCTCAGGGCAGAAATTTTGTGTCGGCTTACATGGGAAATTATGCAGTTGACCCCAGGGCCCTCCATCTCAAGGCCTCAGTGCTTCCCCAGTCTTACTTCTCCATCTCTCCCAGCACCTCTCAACTTCCTGGGAGCCCTCCTTCCTTCCCAGTGTGGAATATGCATGCCTTTGTCTTTGCTCCTGAGGCTCCCCGCCTAGGATGCCATGCCTCCTTAGTGGAGACTGACATTTTATTCCCACTTCAGCCCTTCATTTCAGAGCTACCATCCCCCTCCTCCACTGAGCTCTCCTGATGCCTTCTGCAGTTTGTCCACCCTCCTCTGAACTCCTAGAGCACTTTACATACCTTTACAGCCCTACATGGAAGTTTCTCTTTCAGTTATCTGCATATGTCTCATGTTTCAGTGTCAGGTTTGGCTGCAAGCCACAGAGACATCAAAAGTAGTAAGAACAAAATGGGTATTTAGTGGACAATTAGGTCTCTCTGCTGCAGTCCACCTTTTTACCTACACACATGTCCATTCACGGTCTCTTCCGTATCAGTTAAGATTCTATTTGACTATAAGTGTTAGAAAACCCAAAATAACACAAAAGGAAAAGCAGTCAGGAGGCTGGCATCCTGGGGCTGAAACAGTGGCTGCCTTGGTCATCAGCCACCCTGGTTCTTGCCTTCTGCTCCACCATCCTCAGGTCTGGCTTGTGATTTTATGTTCTAGTATGACTGCTGGGCCTCCAACCACCACAGGCACGTTCCAAATACTAGCAAGGAGATAGGAAGGAAGGAATAAGGTCATGTTCTTTCCTTTCATGACAGGTACCAGAATTTACTGGCATGGCCACATTTATCTGCAAGAAATAGTAGAAAATATAACCTTTGAGCCAAATAGCTATATCCCAAGCTAAAAATTTAGAATTTATTAATTTGAAAAGAGAAGGGATGAATGCATAATAGCTATGGCAAGAAGCAGTCTCTGTCACATCTTATCTCCCCCCAAAATACTGTAAGATTGTAAGCTTGTTAGAGCAGATACAATGGCTAATTCATCGTTACATATCCCTACTTTTATTTGCTTCAATATTCATCCATGCAGCTACATTCATTAGGCATAAAGCCCTGTGGTATGTACTAGGAACAAAGGGGAAAAAAAGAAAAGAGTCCCTACCTCCAAAGAGCGCTTAGTGTGGCAAGGAAGCCAATATGTAAGCAGACCATGATAATCGATGAGCGCAGATGGGGGCTGGTGCTCAGAGGAGAGGCCCCACCCACTCTAGACAGCATGCAGAAGCCCAGCTCACCTTGGGAGTCATGCAGAAGACAGGGCAGGTGAGCTGATCCTGCTCAACACTCGGCAATTGGGAGATTAATACACGAGTAAGCATGAAAATAGAATTAAATTGTACCACCAGTGGGTAAAGATGAAAACAACTAATCCTTCTAGGCACAACCTGGACACAGGAGATTGTGGACATGATCGAAAATGACGGGGATGTGCAGAAGTGCCAGAGGGCCAACACCTTTGAACGCCATCCTTTCCTTGAGTGGACACTGCCCCCACCTCTCAACTCAGGTAAGTTGGCCCGAGTGAGGCCTGCGGGGTTGAAACCACTATACTGGGTCAGTTTTCACCTGAGAGGAAAATCATTTCTGCAGTTAGCCCTTTAGAAACTATGTCCATAGGGAACCAGGAAGGAGTCTGAAGGAGGTTCAGGTCAAAACACCTAGGGAGAAAAGTACTGCCATAAATGATTACACTTTACACCAAATATACTAAGACATACAAGACATAGACTGCACCCTTGACTATTCTGTAATCATGTTGGAAATAAAGGACATGTTTTTACAAAGCCAATAGTAATAAATAGTTTTCACAGTAGGAGACAAGCCTTTGGTGAGAAGGCATTGACGTTAAAATCACACAGTCCAGTTTCAAATGCTGATGTGGATTTTTTATCTGGGTACCTTGAGCAAGTCATTAAGCATCGCAAAGCCTAATTTTTCTTCATTTGTAAAATAATAATACCTAATATGTATTGAAACCCTATTGTTGATTGGGCCAATTACTTCAGCAACATTTATTGAAAAATATTGTTTAATCTTTCCTCCCATTGAATTGTCTTGAAATCTTTGCCAAAATTAACTGTTTATATGTGGGTATATTTCTAGAATTTCTATTCTACTTCTGTCATTGATGTATCAATTGTTATGCCAATATTACACAGTCTTATAATAATTTCTATAGTTTGGTAATAAGTTTTGAAATTAAGTAGAAATAAGTCCTCCCAATTTCTCTCTCTCTCTCTCTCATTTTTTCTTTTTTTTGCTTTCCCTATTCTAGGATCTTTGCATTTTCATATAAATACTGTAATCTAGTTGTCAGTTGCTACCAAAACAAACAAGCAAACAAAGAAACAAAAGTCTCCTCATATTTTGGTTGGGATTGCATTAAATCTAGTCTCCAATTATTTTGAACATTTTAAATTTTACTCAGTAATGATTTACAGCTTTCATTATGTCTGTCACATCTTTAGTCAAATTTAATCACAAGTATTGTTTTATTTTATTAAAATATATTTTGATATTGCTGTATTTTAATGTTTATTTATATGTTGCAGATATGTTTTGATTTTTTCTTTGCCCTTGTATCTTGCAACTTGGCTTATTAGTTCTAGATTTTTTGTACTTTTCTATTGGATATTGGATTTTCTACACAGACAATCATGTCTTCTTTGAAGGAAGACAATTTTACTGCTGCTTTCTGGGCTTGATTTTTATTATTTCTTTTTCTTGCCTTATTTCACTATCATCTGGAGCCTCTATTGTAGTATTGAATAGAAATAATAAGACCAAACATTCTTGCCTTGTCCCCCATCTTAGTGGAAAAGCATTCATTCTTTCACCATTAAGCATAATGCTAGATGCAGATTTTTTTTAGATGGCATTTATCAGACTAAGAAGTTTATTTTTATTCCTTGTTTTCTCAGTTTTTAATAATAAACCCCTGTTAGATTTAGTCAAATGTTTTTTGACTTGGGAATTCATTTATTTTAATTCATTCTTTGTTTAGGGCTATCAATTTTTATCTCATCATGTTAAATGTATGTGTTTTTAATATATAGTGTTTTTGTTACATTTGATTTCAGTACATTTTTCAGAATTTTTGAAACTTTATGCCAGAAATGTTTAGTAGAAGTTTTTAATTTCCAGATGAAAGTGCTTCTTTGATTTTTGCCTTTGCATTTGATTTCTAGTTTTATTGCATTGTGATAAGAGATTTGTTTATAAAATGTCAACACTATGAAATCTACTGATGTTTTATTTGTGCCTTAACATATCATTATTTTGTGAATTTGCTATGTTTGCTTGAGAAGAAAACATATTCTCTATTGCCCAAAATATCTAATATATTACGTTGTTTAAATACTTTGTATCTTCTCTTTTTTCTCATTGACTTATTTTGCACTGAAAGTTAAAACATCCGATGATTAACATGTTCTGTTTCTATCTACTGTGGTTTCCATTTTATATAAGTGGTTACTGGATTATGTGGTACACAGATATCCATGATTACTTTATTTTATTAATATAATGGAATCTTTCACATTATAAAGTTTCTTCTTAATGTCATATGTATTTGGGGTTGAATACCAATTTATCTTATAGCATCACAATCCTTGCTTTCTTTTTTAATTTTTAACATTCATGGGTTCTTAGTAAGTGTATATATTTATGGGGCACATGAGATGTCTTAATACAGGCATACAATACGTAATAATCACATCATGGAGAATGGGGTATCCATCCCCTCAAGCATTTATCCTTTGTGTTAATAAGCAATCCAGCTATACTCTTTTAGTTATTTTTAAATTTACAATTAAATTATCATTGACTACAGTTACTCTGTGGTGCTAACAAATGGTAGGTCTTATTAATTCTTTCTAACTAATTTTTGTACTCATTAACCATCCCCACATCCCACACACACACCCACACTACCATTCCCAGCCTCTGGTAACCATCCTTGTATTCTCTAACTCCATGAGTTCAATTGTTTTGATTTTTAGATTCCACAAATAAGCGAGAACATGCAGTGTTTGTCTTTTTGTGTCTGGCTTATTTCACTTAACATAATGATCTCCAGTTCCATCCATGTTGTTGCAAATGACAGGGTCTTATTTTTTTATGCTGTCTTACTCCCTTTAAGACAGCAGATTCCCTTCTGGCCAGTGCATCTATCCATTCATCTGCTGATGGACACTTTGGTTGCTTCTAAATCTTGGCTATTGTGAACAGTGCTACAACAAACATGAGATTGCAAATAACTCTTTGATATACTGATTTCCTTTCTTTTGGATATATACCCAGCAATGGGATTGATGGATCCTATGGCAGCTCTGTATTTTGGTTTTTGGGGAATCTCCAAAATGTTCTTTATAGTGGTTGTACTAATTTACACTGCAAACAACAATGTACAAAGGTTCCCTTTTCTCTGCATCCTCACCAGCATTGGTCATTGCTTGTCTTTTAGATATAAGCCATTTTTACTAGGATGAGATAATATCTCATTATAGTTTTGATTTGCATTTCTCTGATGATCAGTGATGTTCCACAGTTTTTCATATGCCTGTTTGCCATTTGTATGTCTTCTTTTCAGAAATGTCTATTGAAATCTTTTTACCCATTTTTTATTGGATTATTGGACTTTTTCCCACACAGTTGTTTAAGCTCTTTATCTATTCTGGTTATTAATCCTTTGTCAAATGGGTAGCTTGCAAAGACTTTCTCCCATTCTGTGGATTGTCTCTTCACTTTGTTGATTGTACCCTTTGCTGTGCAGGAGCTTTTTAACTTGATGTGATCCCATTCATCCATTTCTGCTTTTGTTGCCTGTGCTTGTGGGGTATTACTCAAGATATTTTTGCCCAGACAAATGTCCTGAAGATTGTCCTACTGTTTTCTTGTAGTATTTTCATAGTTGGGGTCTTATGTTTAAGTTTTTAATTCATTCTGATTTGATTTTTGTATATGGTGAGAGACAGAGGTCTAGTTTCATTTTTCTGCCTATTGATATCCAATTTTCTCAAGCACCATTTTTTGAAGAGACTGCCTTTTCCCCAGTGTATGTTCTTAGCACCTTTGTCAAAAATGGTTCACCATAAGTGTGTGGATTTGTTTCTGGGTTCTCTATATCATTCCATTGATCTATGTGTCTGTTTTTATGCCAATATCATGGTGCTTTGGTTATTATAGCTCTGTAGTATAATTTAAAGTCAGGTAATGTGATTCCTCCAGTTTTGGTCATTTTGGTTAGGATAACCTTGGCTATTCTGGGTCTTTTGTGGTTCCATGTAAATTTTAGGATTGTTTATTCTATTTCTATGAAAAAAGTCATCAGTATTTTGTTAGAGATTACATTGAATATACAGATTGCTTTGGGTAGTATAATCATTTTAACAATATTGATTCTTCCAATCCATGGACATGGCATATCTTTCCATTTTTTTGGTGTCTTCTTCAATTTCTTTCACCAGTGTTTTATAGCTTTGATTATAAAGACCTTTCAGTTCTTTGATAATTCCTAGGTATTTAATTTTATTTATAGTTATTATAATCTGGAGTACTTTTAAATTTTCTTTTTCAGATCATTCACTGTTGTTACATAGAAATGCTACTTATTTCTGTATGGTTGTTTTTGTATCCTGCTGTGTCACCAAATTTTTTTATTAGCTCTAAAAGTTTTTCTGTGGAGTCTTGAGGTTTTTCCAAATATAAGATTATATCATCTGCAAACAAGGATAAGTTACTGTCTTCCTTTCCCATTTGGTTGCCCTTTATTTCCTTCTCTTTTCTGATTCCTTTAGCTAAGACTTCCAGTACGGTATTGAATAGCTGTGGTGACAGTAGGCATCCTTGTCACGTTCCAAATTTTAGAGCAAAGGCTTTCAGTTTTCCCCCACTCAGTATGGTACTAGCTGTGGGTCTGTTATATATGGCTTTTATTATGCTGAGGTATGTTTCTTCTATACCCAGTTAGGGTTTTTATCATGAGTTCCCACATGCTCCAGAGGTGCCATCTGGTTAAAAACCTTAGAAATCTGCCTGATATTCTATTGTGCTGCGCCTAAGCTGGCACTGAAACAACAAGATGTAGTCCTTCCCTCTCTTCCTTCCCCTTTCCAAAGGCAGAAGAAAGAGCCTCGTCCCATGGCCACCGCCACCACAGGCCCATAGGGAATACTGCCAGACTACCACTGATGTTTCCTTAAGGCCCAAGGGCTCTTCAGTCAGCTTGTGGTGAATGTTGCCTGGCCTGGGATACACCCTTCAGGGAAGTGGGCTCCCCTCTGCCCCAGGGAAGGTCCAGAAATGTCATCCAAGAGCCAAGTTCTGGAATCAGGGTCTCCAACAGCCTACTTGGTGCTGTACCCCACCGTGGCCAAGCTGTTACCTGAAGCCAGCATGCCTCAAAGTCTCATTCAAGGCCCTCAACATATGCCTGAAAATTGCTGCAGGTTATTTGGGGCCCAGGGACTTTTCAGTTAGCAGGAAACGAATGCTGCCAGGACTCATTCTTAAAGGTCCTTCCCTTTAAGGTAGCAGACTCCCTTCTGGCCCAAAGTGTGTCTAGAAATGTCTGGGAGCTAGGTCCTGGAAGGGAAGCCTTAAAACTCTGACCTGTGCCCTATTCTGCTGTGACTAAGCTGGTATTCAAAATGCAAGACTCCACCCCACTCTTCCCTCTTCTCTCCTCAAGTGAAAATAACAGATCCCTTTTGGGCCTATGAGCTGTGCAGTCTGGAAATAGGGGAGGAATGATGCCAGCACTCCCTTAGCCACACCGGCTGGTATCTCAATAGGTCACGTGCCCCCACCAGTCCATTGTCTCTGGGTTCAGTTCAGACTAGGACTCTCCTAGGAGTGGCAGTCCTTGCGGCCTAGACTGCCTTTTGAGTTTATTTACAGCCCCGAAACACTTTAGTCCTCTGTGGCAAGGCTTGCAGGAACTCAAATTCTGACCATGGGAATCAGTGATTTCCCCACTGTTAGGGCTGGTTTAAATGCTCCCTCCGTGGGCAGGCATCGGCTGAGTTCTGTCTGGGTTTGCTTTCTGCTATAAGAAGATGGCACTGAGTTCAATGCCTCACAATTGCTGTGCACTCCCTACCCCAGCGCACAGAAATGCTCTCAGCACCACACCGCCACTTCATGGGGGTGAAGCGGGGGCTGTTGTTGGCAATTCGAGTCATTTTATTTAACCTCTTCAGTGCCTCTTTCAGGGATACAAAGTTAAAACCAAATACTGTGACTGCTCATCTGATTTTTGGTTCTTATGAAGGTGCTTCTTTTGTGTAGATAGTTGTTAAGTTGATAGTCATTGGATGCAGTGGGGGCAAAGGAGTGTCATGATCAGTGGAGGCTTCTATTCATCATCTTGCTCTCCTCAATCTTTGCTTTCTTATAGTTTTCATTGTGTGTTATATGTTTATCCATTCTTTTATTTTTACCTTATATTAATTATTATGTTTTAGGGTATTCTCTTGAACAATATATATAGCTGGCTTCTCTTTTATGAGCCAATTTGAAAAATATTAATAGGTTATTTAAGCCACTCACATTTATTGATATGACTGATATGTTTGGTCACAATCATGTCATATCATCGTTTGTTCAAATTACTGTGTTAGTAAGTAATATTTACTGTGTCCCTTTCCCTATTTAGTGTATGCTTTTCATTTTCCTTTTTGTTATAAAAAAAAAAGTGGGAGGTTGTTTGTTTTGGTGGTGTGCTTAGTATTTAGGAAAGTTTGTATTTTTTTTTCCTAGTGGTTACTTGTGTATTATTACCGTTGACAAAACCTTAATTCTTCTTTTCTCTTACTTAATATTTTACTATCTGGTCTGCTGGTTTCAAAGGATCTATGACTCCTCCTATTAATTATACAACAGCAAATAATCATATTCCAAATATTAAGTTGTATTACTACTTCATGGGAACCTATACGGTTTACACATTATTCTTTTACTCATGATCTACCCTCATTAATTTAATTGTAATATTATATAACGTGAAATATTCACCATTGATCCTTTTTGCAAAGATTTCCAAGTCATTTCTTGATTGAATGGAACTCAGTCTAGCTAATTGATCAGGAAAGCCACATCTGGACTATTTTCCCTAGTCCTTGCACATTTAAACAATTTTTTATTTATTTTTTTTTTTTGTTCTATCCTTGATACCTGAAGCACAGCCTGCTTGGAGATAACATTTTTTGTTCACATGTTGTGTCCTTAATTTCTTTAAAATGCTGATCAAGAGATTTCTTGCTTTTTAACAATGTTTTCAAGAGTTTGATGCCAGTTTGGTTTCATTGACCTTAAGCATTATTTCATATTTTGCATGAGGCATGAATTTTTTTAAATCATAAAATATAATAATTTTACCATATGTTTCAAAATTGATCATTATGAATCAACTTCCCTGATGCCCCATGGTTAACATATAAATTCCAGTCTTCTTCTCCAGAAAACTGTTTTAGATTACAAGTTTAAATACTAGTTTTATTCCACTGTTTTCATTTTCTTCTCAGGAACTCCAGCTTCTACTAATGTTAGACCTTCTTTACCTGTCTTCAATGACAGCCACTTGCTCTCTGAACCTTTTTACTTCTTTCTTTACATTGTGTCATTGTCTTAATTGGTTTAATGCTTTTCTTCAATAGCATTTATATTTTCATTTTATTCTATTTCCCATTATCATTTTTATAATTTCATTTTTAATACTAATTTGCTTTTTTATTCTACTTCTTTGAGTTCAATCAAATCTTTTACACTTTCTTTTTTTGTCCATATCTGTTTTTACTTTTTGTACTTCTGATTTCAGATTTTATTTTCATATTCCCAAATGTTTGTTTCAAGATACTTAATTTAGTTTAAAATGTTGCATTTTCATTTTCAGCTTTGTAGTTGATTTTGTGGGGATTTGATTTGATTTTTTTTATTTGACTCTTTGATCTTTATAATAGCTTTGTGCCAATGAAATCTTTTTTTTTATTTACTTCGTGAAATAGTTTCTGGTTTGAAAACGTCCTCTTCTGTCAGTTCTACCTTCTTCTGTGCAGTTTTGTTTATAAGTACGTAGTACAGGTTAGTTGGGAGGAGCAGAAATTGGCATCCTTTTACTTTCTCTCTTTTATGCAGAATTTTTAATTTTCTCTCTCTTGCTTCCTTCTATCCCTTTACTGCTGCACCTCCAAGGAGAACCTCCCTTTCCTTACATATCTCATTCTCCATCAGAAGCTATCTTCTCCATAGCTGACATTTATGCTTAAGTTGCAAGCCCCTTCCCTGAGGTTGGTGCTGCACATGACTACATCCAGCCTATATTCAGCATTTTAGCAGTCAGCATTGGACTTTCTATTTCCAGGAATGACTTTGTCTGTGCTTTATTTAAGTCTTTCTTGTCTCTCTACTGTTTTTTACAAAGCTTCTCCTTCTTGGCTCTCCACACTTACAGACTGACTGATTTCTAATCCTGGCTTTCACATTTACTAACTTGGAAAAATAACTTGATCACTGTAAGGCAGTTTTTCAGCTAAAAATATTTCCCAGCACAATGCTTGCACATGCCTTATGGCATTGTAGTGTGTGGCCTTGAAAGTAAAAGTTGAAAGAAAATTTTGCATTCTTTAGACAGAGCTACTGGGGCTATAGAGCTGTTCTCATCAACTTTATCTGCCCACAAAAGCACACACTGTTGCCCAAGAAGTATGGGAAGTAATATGCTTCCATAGTTTTAAATATTTCATGAGTGTTTTTCTCTACCAGAATGGGCAGTAAAGCTGTCATTAGAAAGGAAACATAGGTATAAAAATTATTAGTTTAGACAGACAGCTGACTATTGGGTCAATCTGATTTCAAATGATTGGCACAGCAGTAATATCAAATCTATGCAGCTGATGAGAAATGTTTGGCTGAATGGTGTGGCCTTGTTTCCCAGGTCTGGATCTGGCTAACAAAATGCCTTCTCCTAGAACTCTGAAGACTCATTTGCCTGTTCAGATGCTACCACCTTCCTTCTGGAAAGAAAATTCAAAGGTAAGAAGAGCCAACTCTTCAAACCCAATTTGATCAGCATGGCCTAATAATGTCTCCAAGTAGAAACAGTAAAGGACACTAAAAGAAAGCCAGTGAAGCCATAGGGCAGATGGTGGCATTACCCTACATTTCCACGTACTCCATTCTGGATTCATCTTTCTTCAAAATATTATTTTGGGGTACATATTGGGAAATTTTCAGACAAAATTATTTTGACTGTCTGCCATCTAAGCCACATTCAAAGAAGGTGATCAATGAAACAAGCAGGTATTTCCTGAGGAAGAGTGATCTCTTAGATTGTCCACTAAGGAACCAGCAGAGTCAGACCTGAAAGAAAACTATTTAGAGGAAAACCTGTGAAAAGCAGAGTAAGACAAGTAAGTATGGAGAGCAATAAGATCATGATGCAAGTCTGACCCCTATGAAGGAGAGGCAAGGAAGGAAAGTTGAAGACTCAGACTACCGTGCAGCCACGAGCAAGGTTCATCCAAGCCGATGAGAAGTCCTCCAGCCAAAGTCAGCCATCAGAGAGTCCCATATCTCATAGACTGGACCTGCCTAGGCATGCCTGCTGTCTTTACTCATTAGCCAAGAGCAGCCATTTGGAAATGTGTTCTTGTAAAGAACATGGTAGTGGATTCAGAGTACAGCATTTGAGGCTATCCATACTTACACTTTCCCCATCCAGAGATCTGAGCAGCCCATGTTCATGGCCACCATCTGGCTGCCCTGATGAGATAATGTACACCTTGGTATCCAAAATCTGCTCCTCTTCCTTTCAGGATGAGAAGTATAATTCTGTCTTATTTTAGTTTGTTCCCCTCACCCCACACACACACCTTAATAGACAACTGAGAGATCAACAGACTCTCAGAAAGCATATCTCATGAAGCAAGCTCCTAGGTACTGTTACACCTTTACTTCTCTGCTTTCAAAAAATATATATTTTTATTTTGACACTTCCTAATTCAGATCCTATAAATGCAGTGTACATGGAATGTACCAGTGTTTCCTTTTGATTTCTGATTTATAAGTTAGTCTTAAATTAATGAAATGTATAATATAAACAAAATATTGACTTTTACATTCGCAATAAAAAGTATAACCATTCAGCAGAACCAAATGCTTGTACCAGCTAGACCAGCACATCATCTCTTTGTGGGCAACCTGCTTTGTATAAACACAGTTATCTGAAGATTGCTGAGAGAGTCAGTTGATGTTAAAATGTGTCTTTCAGCTAAGACAACTGTAGAGTCTTAACAACCTTCTAGACTGAATTTACCAAGAAAACCGTAACAAATCTAACCAAGATACTCTCTCCTTGGTGCAGTGCTCAGATACATGATGTGAGTAATTGCTTTTGACTTCCTCTTTCTTCTGAGCTTCCATGACTCACCAGCTCTTTATTTTGTCCATCTCCTATCTCCAAATAAGGTACAATACAATTGAATAGTTTTTCAAGTATCTGCTTGCTTTGCTTCCCTGATTTGCTAATTTGCTTCCCTAAGATCATGCCCTGGATGTGTGAAAACTTCTTGGTTTATTCCCACAAATATCTTCACTAATTGTATGTTCATTTTATTCCTCAAAAGTCAGTATTTTCTCCAATTCTTGTAGACTCATTGTCAAAAGACACACTAACACTTGGTTGGTCATCAGACTAACATCTTCTTTTTGTAAAATCAGGTCTTCTAAATAATGTAAACATCTCAGTGGTAGTACTTCCATTTATCCATTTAGACTTGGTGTGAATTATTTGAGTAGAAAATGACTGTAGGGAACTTAATCCAAGTTTTCCATCTTATGATGGTATGGTAGCCTGAAAAATGGTCACTCCAAAATAGCTACATCTAATCACCAGCACCTGAAGATATGACCACATGTTGCAAAATGGACTACATGGATGTGACTAAGTTAAGGATCTTGAGATGGGGAGATTCTCTTGGATTATCTTGGTCTTAAATAACAGCACAAGGGTATTTAAAAGATGGAAACAAGCATACCAAGGGAGGAAATAGGAGCTGTGACAACTGAAGCAAGAATCTGGAGTGATTCAAGGAAGGAGTCAAGAGCCAAGGAATACAGGTGGCCTCTAGATGCTAAAAACAAGAAAATGAATTCTCCCCAGACCCATTAAAGGAAGCAACCTTGCTGAAACCTTGACTTTAACCCAGTGAAATCTGGCCTTCAGGACAGTGAGAGAATAAATCTACATTGTTTTAAGCTATTTGTGGGAATTTGTTAAAGCAGCAATTGAAAATGAATACAGATGAATCAAAAGATTCTCAGAAATTGTATTTGACATTGGACTCCACACCTAATGTACATTTAAATATGTTCCCTGTTTGGCCTAGGACTTCCCATTTCCATTTCTGCCTAGAAGGCAATAACCAACATAAGCATTAAGGAATATTACACAAAATACATGTACATAATAATAATGCTTCACACTTGTATCATATATTTTGATACCCTAAATGCTTTCATAAATGCTGGATAGAAATCCAGCAGCAAGAAACAAGGCAGATAAACAGAGTCATGGCAGGACCGTGTGACTGTGTTCATCTGAGTGAGCAAAGAGGGAAAGCAAGAACCTAGGGCAATTCACTAAGAGTAAAACAGGGCTGGATGATTGGTTGTGCTGGATACAGAAATTCCGTAGTGAGACACAGGACAAAAATTCTTGAAAAACCACAGAGAATGGTTCCTCCCCAGCCCTGTGGAGAATCATACAGCAGTGTAGGATGGGATGGAAGCCAGAGTAATGAGGGGAGGAAGGTGTCAACAGGACAAGAAGCCAAGAGGTCAGCTCCTTCTCACCAGACCACGCACTGCCTATCCTATGAGGAGACCATCACACACAGCTCCAAGGATGGACTTAGCACTGTCCTGAAGGGTCCTTGAACCTCATCATCAAATGAATGTAGAAGTGGTAATTTATCAGTAAGGCTGGGATTCATATCATGGAAATTAAACCAAATGGCTAGCTGCTTTAGCTCCTCCCAACCTAGAACCTAGTTAAGATTTCTTGCTTAGTGAAAGCCAATGGGAACCTTCACACACTGAAAAATATACCACATGCTATCATCTGCATTTGTCCCGTCAAAATTCATATGTGAAATCTTAATCCTAACAGTGATAATATTAGGAGGTAGGACCTTTGAGAGGAGATTAGGCCATGAGTGGGAAGCCCTCATGAATGGGATTCATGTCTTATAAAGCACGACTGTCTCAAGACAGCAGATTGTCACCACACACCAAATCTGCCAGCACTTTTATCTTGGACTCTCTAGCCAGTAGAATTGTTAGAAATAAGATTTTATTGCTTATGAGCCACTCAGCCTCTGGTATTTTTTTATAGAATCCTGGATGGATGAAGACAACATGGGTAGCTTACTTAACTTCCAGAAATATCACAGTTAGGGTGAATGTAGTATGCACCATGTAGTATGAAAATTAGGACACTTCTGTGATAGAAAAGAGGTGCTCTTAATGATCATGCTAAGACCACAGCTATAAATTGGAATTGTGCCTAGGCAAACTAAAAGGGATAGTCACCTTTGATCATAGAAAATGCATAAACATTCAATTATTCAAATAGGATAGTCCAAGATTCTACAAAGAGGCTTTCTAAAATTATGGTCTTCTGTAGTGGATGATACTTTGCTGTCTTGCTTTCTCTCGGCTTCTCATTCCTCTTGCTGGTTGATTCCAGATTATCTATGTGGCTAGAAATGCCAAGGACTGTCTGGTCTCCTACTACCATTTCTCAAGAATGAATAAAATGTTGCCTGATCCTGGTACATGGGAGGAATATGTTGAGACATTCAAAGCTGGAAAAGGTGAGTGGAAGAAAACTGTGAGTTCATATTTCCTTATTCATTCACCTGCTGAAAGCAGAAAGGAAGATAATTTTCATTGAATGGCTATATCCATCAAGGTCTTGTGAGGAAGTAGATGGCACACTCAAACCAGGTCATCTGACTCTGTAACAACAAGACTATTTACAAGGCTATGAGCAGAGTTTGAGGAAACTGACAAGGGCTAGTACCATATTCTGGGGAGAGTACCGGCAGGGAGCCAAATCTCTCCAGAGACAAAAGAGGACCCCTTGACAGGAGCTAAAGCTTTGGTGGGGGAAGCGGTGAACCACAGTGAGTCAACAGGAAAGGCATCAGGAAAATAAACACAATGACCTCCTCTCCTTCTGCCTCTAAACGCCTTCCTCTGCCTCTTACTGACACAGTCCAGCTACAATCCTGAGAGCAAAGAAGCCCATCGACACAGTCGATGCAGGACACTATGCAGGGCACCAAGCAGAGAGGAAAAGGATGGAGAGTGGAGTTGGCAGAGATGACAGAAAATAGCCAGCGAGCCTCTCTTTTTCATATTTATCATCAAAGAGAGTGAAGGTGCCCAAATATCCCAGTATTTATAAATTTTTCATAGTAAAAGTATTTTTAAAATCAGCCTGTTCAGAAACAATATTTATCGTATAATATTGACCAATGCACTATGTGATGATGCAAGGAAAATAAAGGTGTTGAATTCCTGGCCACAAGACAGTCTTTCATGGAGTAGTAAGTTCAAGGGTGGAAACATAAACCAAGGGATCCAGAATACTTTTTATCATCATCCTAATTTAAAAAAAAAATCCCTGTCTGCAAATGAGAATTCTCCCCAGGGTCTTTGGTCTTCTGGTTGTATTTACTAAATGTCCCCTTTTATTTGAAACATTCAGGTTTGTTTTACAAGTTTCATTGTGGCATTGACATCTTATCTCTCTCCTTCCCCTCAGTGCTGTGGGGTTCCTGGTATGACCACGTAAAGGGATGGTGGGATGCAAAAGACCAGCACTGTATTCTCTACCTCTTCTACGAGGACATGAAGGAGGTGAGAGCAGTGCCGTCTCCATCAGATCCTCCCACATCCTAGGATACATCAATCCCCATTTAGAACCCTAGCGCATGGGCTTTCCTACAGAAGAGCCATCAGTGCAAGTCCATAACACTCTTTGCAACTCAGTTTTATCCTCAAAGGTCTAACTACTTTTTTGGTATTCTAAATTTTCTTTGCTTTAATACAGTTTTCAAAAGATTCTTCTTCCACAGGAAATAGCACATGCTTTACATTTGAATCAATCTGTTGGATCCTGATACTTATGAGCCAGATACTTTTATCTACAAAGTGATATCACATCTATTCATGAGATCTTTTTAAAGATTTACACTATCACATTTGTAAAGCGTACATAGTTGTGTTCAAGAAATTTAGCTTCCTTCTCCCTTTTCCACACCTCAACCCCACATCATAAAACAAAGTTTACTCCACATAAACACTGGTAGGATTCGTCCCATATATTGGGACAGTGGACTGATTTCTGAATTTCAAACCATGGTGTATGAGTGGCTGCACAAACTCACTCTCATGACCTAGTGCATCAGCATCCTAAAATTTTAAAAGTAGCATCTAAGATGTCCTTGGAAATTTAATCAAAAGCTATAGCTTCTCTCTTTCTGTATCTCTTTGATGAAAAGGATCCAAGAAATAAGGATTTATATTTCTAGGTCAACTTGAGATTCCTTTTATTCCTCCTCTTAGTGACCTTCTGTTAAGTTCACAGGTTCTTTTTGCCATCTATTGTGGTCCAAATACTAGAGTTAGTCATACTATGCTTCACCACCAACATTGTTCCTCCTTCACACAACCATCCCTGATCTCTCCCAGGAGATATCATTGCTCCTTCCCACCAAATCTTCTGGCACCCTGTACTACTCTGCAGACAACATGTACTTTTTCAACCAGCAGTGTGGTCGTTTGTGTTTATGTTTAATTCTCTTCCTGCAAGGTAAGCCTCCTGAGGGCAGAGAAAGCCCTCACCTTTGTGTTGCTGCAGCATCTGAGATAGTACAGTGTCTTGCACTAGGAGTCACTTAAGAAATATTTTTGGAATATGTTTGAATTGATCCTTTAACTCATTTCTTTCAAAATACCGTCCAAATGAAACACCATCCCCAAGAGAAGACGCAACATGATTTGTTTAGTGTGACTGTTCCACATACAGGACCCAAAGCGGGAAATTGAGAAGATACTGAAGTTCCTGGAGAAAGACGTATCAGAGGAAGTTCTGAATAAAATCATCTATCACACCTCCTTTGATGTAATGAAGCAAAACCCAATGGCCAACTATACCACTTTGCCCACCAGCATCATGGACCACTCCATCTCCCCTTTCATGAGGAAAGGTAGATAAGCTTTGTAGTCTAAGATGTCAAATGGAACTTTGTGGTCCCCATGATCTGGTTAGATTTTCCCAGTAATGTTTCATGCTCCATTATTTTTTATTTCCAGCAGCACCACTGTACATCTTTTGAGAGGCAAGCTGCCTGTTTCTCCCCATTCTTGGTGGGGTCCTAAGAGTGCATGCTCACCCCTCCCTGTACTCCTGCAGCAATCAGTCCGATTTCTCCTTGTTTCAGGGATGCCTGGAGACTGGAAGAACTATTTCACTGTGGCCCAAAATGAAGAATTTGACAAAGACTACCAGAAGAAGATGGCAGGAAGCACCCTAACCTTTCGCACAGAGATCTGAGAGCAGTCAGGGAGTCTGCCCCAGACTTTCTTACCAGATTTTTGCCATTTGAGCCTCATGATCAAGGACACCTAAAACAAAGACACCCTTCCTCCAGTCTGGAGCTGTTACACACTAGCTATAGACCCTATGCCACTATGATAATACTTCATCAAAATGTAACCAAATCCAAGGTAGTTTTTAATTAAGATACATGATCCCTCATGTAGATACCAACCACATAAGGTACTCACCTGTCCTAAGGCAAAATAAAGGTAATTTAGTTCCATCACTGGTTACAATAGTAAAATAAATAAAGAGATAAGTAAGAGTGTAATTTCAACGTAAGAGAAAGTGAACAAGAGAAGAATGATGATGATAAGTGGGCACTAGGGAGAATGTGAGGGGGAACTGGTTTTTATTTTTAAAGATCAGGAATGAGAGGCAGAGGATAGTCCTACTCTTGAAGATATTAGATTAGGACGTGCAGAGGGTGGCATGAAGGATGGAATGCTGTGAGCTGGGTCTGACTCAGGTGGCTTCAAGCTGAAATGGTCCCAAAACCAAAGAGAAAGGCCACAGGAGAGGAATTAGGAACGCAAGATGAGCAAGAAACTCAGCCAGCTTCCGTGGCCAACACAAGACTGGAAACCAGAGAAAGATTTTGTCTTTCAGATGGACTTCTGGGGGAGGGGGGAAAGCAAGAGAGCGTGTGAGAGACAGAGTGTTCAGTGAGCTCAAGGAAAAAATAAAATATTCAGTAACTGTTGCAAATTAAGAAAAACTTGCACATCTCTGTGGAAAATCATTTTTTATCTTTTTTTAAAAAGGGCTTTTAGCAAAACTGTCAGCATTGCCAAGTTAATCAGCTACACTTATGATTACATTCTTTTTCTTCTTTTTATTAAAACCTGTACCAAGAAAATATCTGCCATCATTTATACAAGTTATACAGAGATCCATGTATTATTTTTTTTAATGTGAGGAAAGTACATTTTGTGGGATGGGTGATTTCCTTATCATTAAATCATACAACACAAAAAATTATCTACTCCACCCAGTAACAAAGTATATCCCTTTGCATTCTTTCATCATTCCCTCTCTAAAGAAAGCATGCAAATCATTAACCACATGACAAATATCCCAGTATAGTATATTTGCAGAGTGCTGGCCTGCGCTGAGGAAAGATATGGTGAACTGAACCAGCGTGATTCAAGAGCAAATACATTTTTATCAGAAACACCCACACCAAATGTCTTGGGTTCATGTTCCAAGAGCTGCCTAACAATGCAAGCACATAATGACTCCCTTTATGACTATGATAGAAACTGGACATATGGGCATTATTGATCAGAATATAGGCAAAGGTCTAGAGTTTACAACTAGGCAAAACTTGCTTTTCTCCCTTTATAAGGCTAATTTTTTTACTTTAATTATAAAAATAGATATCATTCTTATATTCTCTATAAATTTCAACCACAGAAAATATTTCTAGACTCCTCTTTTACAAAGCTCTGCTATGTCCTTTTAAGCAATGCTAAAAGTACTATGAAGAATAATTAATGGTTTAATTCAATCTTAAAATATCTTTGGTCCAGCTGCATAAAATAAACATGACTAAGATGACCATCCATATATCCTAGATAATCTAACATTCTTGATGGTCATGGATAATTTCAAAAGAACTTGTGTTCTGATCACTTATTACATACTTACACACACACACACACACACACACACACACAGAGAGAGAGAGAGAGAGAGAGAGAGAGAGAGAGAGAGAGAGAGAAAGACTCCTAAATATATCACAGTCATAGAAGATCAAATTGTAAATGTTCAATTTACTTTGGAACCATTCACTTAGAAGAAAATAAAAAGCAGCAACAGAAAGTTAAAAACATAAATTTTAGAGTGAGAATTACAAGAATGAGAAAGATCACATCATTCAACAATCTCACTTTTCAGATGAGAAGACTAAGAATCAAGGGAAGATAGAGACGACCCTCACAAACAGGTCATGGCAGACACGGTTAAATTGGGATCCTCCAGCCCCTGGCTAGCTCCCTACACACTTCAGGAGTCACACAGATTGCAAAAGTCTTCTCTGCAGACTGCATCTTGCACCCACTCACTTACTCTTTGCACTTGGAACAGCTTGGGTGTTCTATGGATTTTCTGATTACATGAGATTCCAAAACTTTTCTAATGGCCTGCTTAGAAAAAGAAAAATGACAAAACCTGAACAGGAATCCACTTAGAGACCCTTCCCAGATAGGGTCTCTGCATTAGAGCATCTTGGAGATGTCCATGAGCAGGAAGGAGACCCCAGCAGAAACTGCCCTTTCTGAAAGCTGAGTAAAGCCCAGTTCTGCCCTCCATTCCCATCACAGGGCTTCTGGGCTTTCTTTGGCTTGTAGGTACCAGGCAGACACCCCCTGCCTCCTGCCCAACCTCACCAAATCTCCCACAGGGCCTGCCCTCAACGGAGTGAACTGAGCTCCCTATGCAGCCCCAAAGGCTATATTCCTCTGCCCACTAATAATCTACTGTGGGTTTTGCTGTTACAGGAACTTCAAAACATATGAGGCAAATTTTAGTCCATATAAACTCAAGTATGGGGAATGCCAATAAACAAATGACAGAAAGGAGGGTTAAGGACAGGAATGAAAATCCTTAACCCTTTATAGGGGTTGTTAAAATGATCACCTGAAAGGCCGTCAGACCTGAGTGCCTCCAGTGTCCCAGGTTCCTATGGAAGCAAACCGAGACCAAATTCAGTTACACTGAGGACTCAACCAGGTCAGAAACCACCAGCCAACCTCGGACTAGGGACTTTCCACCTATTGCTCCACTTTGACCAATTAAACATTTCACCTACACTGCTACCCATTCACTATATGAAAGTCTCCCCACATGCTCCTTCAAAGGAGCCCTGAATCATTCTGGCTTGGAGAGCCATATTCAGGAATCATTGCCTGCTCAAATAAACTCTTTAAAATGTCAGAGTTTACCTCTTAACAGTTCCTATTCTGTTTTCAGCTTAGTAGAATTCGAGTTCATACTAGGGGAATCTAATGATCAGTCTTCTCCAAAGAGGTTTTTTAGACCCTCCCAGCCCTTCTCCATTATCAGTGCCCTTTCTCTCTCTACATTCATGGGTGGTTGGTCTAGGCTCACAGAGGTTAGTCTTGGCCACAAAGGTGGCCTGTGGGCCAAAAATCCACCCATTCAGTATAACTGGGAGCTATGAATAAACTTTCTATACTTTTAAACAGTTGTTATAAAAACAACAGAAATGACAAAGAAGAATATGTAACCCACAAAGCCTAAAATATTCCCTATCTGGTCCTTTACAGAAACTGTTTTCTGACCCCTAGTTTAGAAGAACTCCTCAGCAGGCCTATTCTTTAGACAGAGGCCCTGGATGACCATCCACCCAGCCATGCTGTAGGCACCACAGCCACACAGACACAACTGTTGCACACGTGCTACATGGAGGGAGAGCAGAGGAAAAGAGAAGGGAACAAAAATTGTCAAATTTGGCTTTACAAATGAATAAACATTGACAGACACCCTCTGCCCAGCTGTGGCAGAAACAGAGCATATCCCAAGACCATCATGCATGGCTGGCACAAACATCCAGGCCCTGGTGTCCTCTCCTCTCTCATGCCCTGCCCCGTTAGCAGTGCTTCCAGTCTGTATATCTGGGCTCTCTCAGCACATTGTAATGTCTTGCCTTTCACCAAGTGCTTCAGAATCGCTCCTTGGGAAGAAGAGGCAGTGCTCCTCAGAGACACCTTTACATCAAGGAGGGCTGGGCACTCAGCTGTGGGCAGCAGGAGTCATGGACCCTCCAATGGGTCTAAGACAATCAGGGGTCCTCAGCTGTCTGAAGACCCGAGTGCTGCATCTTTGTTGGCAATGTGGACTGTTTCCAGCAAACTCATCTCCCTCAGGGTCATCGCTCCTGTCCATCTCTGGGCACCACCTTCCACCCAGGGGACACACTGGGAGAGTAGAGGTGATGTGACCATCTCTCCTCAGTGGTGCTCATTCTCCTCCCTCTCGCCCTTCCTCTCACCAGCCCTGACTCATGATCAGTCTCTGCATTTCAGTGACTCCCAAGCACACCATGGCTTCCACTTCCTCATTCTGCAGCCTCTTCATGAGAATAATCAACCATTCATGTTCCCTCTTCACCATAAACAAAGCTAGAAAGAGAGCCTTTGCCTGTCATGTTGGTAGTCCTCTGAGAAATCTCCCTCCCCACGCTGTCTCTCTGTATGTGTCCAGGGCCACATCTTCTCGGGGACATGCTCACATGGCTAGGTCCTAGAACTGCCTTACATTGGCAGCTGGTTCTTGGAAAACCCATAGAATGTGTCACACCAACTTCCTCCAAACACTACCAAGCAGAACTCAGGGATGTTAGCACTTTTCGTAAATCTCTGTCTGTGTTGGTTGATCATCCTTGAATTGACTCGTCTGAGTCTTAACTGGGGTTAAGTGAGGAAAGTCCAGTCAGAGCAGAGCATGGGTTGAGTTCAGACAAATAGAAAATGTGTCTGAGCCTCCTTCCACCTCAGCTGATGCAGGCAACCCACCTCAGTCAGCTCAAGCTGAGTTTCTGGGTCAGCTTGCACTGGGTCTTAAGTGAATGAATGAGACCTGAATACAGACAGGAGACCTGCAGATCCGTATTTGTGAAGATAGGGGTCCTGGGTGAGGATCCCATGGGAGTCCCAGAAATCCAGACATCATCAGATCCTCCCAGCCTTCTTCCCAAAGAGTTCTGAGGAGCACTCCCAACAATCGGAGCCAGTGCATGGTAAAGGGCCTGCCTCCCTTTGAAGCTTGTGGGGAAAGTACTCCCAGCTCTTGAAGCCAAGGGAGGTCCCAGGCCACAACAGCTCTCATGCTCCCGAGGCAAGAACTATTCCTCCACCCACCTTCCCATCTGGAAGAACCTCCTGGGAAGTGGTGTACATATTGTGGTTCCAGGAACAAGCAGGTAGGCATAG